TATATATATATATGTAAAACGTTGATGGCAAACATTAGCATAAAACACAATAAACCATATTGATATGAAAAAAGACTTCTGCACTTGTATCAGAGATAGATAGTACTCACTATAGATAACAAAAGTACCAATATGTATTTAATGATATATAAAGAATAACACTTATTGAGACGGAGCAAACTCTTCTACTAGACTACTAGTGTTGCAATGCGATAAATGCTTTTATACTCATATTTACGCAATAATAAACTCACGATCAGCTATAAAATGATACTGCTATTTTTACTTCCGACTGCTGCCAACCGCAGGTTGGCAAAAAACGGAGGGAGTATGCGTTTCACCGAGCTCGGATCGGTTGTCCGAATAATTCTCGATAACTACTACATAGTTTGATATCATCTTTTGCTCAAAAGCTTCTTATTAACCAAGGAAGGTTTAAAGCGTATAATTATCGTTATTTATGTTGTTAATAAAAAGTGAAAAAACAATATGGTCTCGTCTACGCGTCCTCTCATTGGCTGCCGAGTGTATCTAAGAAGCAAAATGATTCACCAATAAGATTCGTTCTGAGCATCTGCATAGGAAACTTTAGTAACTTACTGAGGACATCTCAAAGTAATCGTGGCGGGAAAAAATAGGTTAGACATAATCATACGTGTCAAGTGTCAGTTTTTGTTGTTGTCAAGTTTTTTTTTATCAAGTTATTATTAAAAAAATGGACATACCTCAACAAATTATTAGACAAGTAAGTTTTTTCATTATTTATTTAATTATTTAAATTATTTAAATTAAATTAAATAATATATACATATTTATTTAAATTAAATAATATATATATTTAATTAATTATATATATACATATATACATATATACAATTATTATATATCTGCATAGCTACAATTATTATATGTTTGTTTGCATAGCTATCATTATGGCTACACAGTTTATATATTTGTCTGCATAGCTATAATTATTTATGGCTATACAGTTTATATATTTGCCTGTGTAGCTATAATTATGGCTATACAGTTTATATATCTGCCTGCGTAGCTATAATTATGGCTATACAGTTTATATATCTGCCTGCGTAGCTATAATTATGGCTATACAGTTTATATATCTGCCTGCGTAGCTATAATTATGGCTATACAGTTTATATATCTGCCTGCGTAGCTATAATTATGGCTATACAGTTTATATATCTGCCTGCGTAGCTATAATTATGGCTATACAGTTTATATATCTGCCTGCGTAGCTATAATTATGGCTATACAGTTTATATATCTGCCTGCGTAGCTATAATTATGGCTATACAGTTTATATATTTGCCTGTGTAGCTATAATTATGGCTATACAGTTTATATATTTGCCTGTGTAGCTATAATTATGGCTATACAGTTTATATATTTGCCTGTGTAGCTATAATTATGGCTATACAGTTTATATATTTGCCTGTGTAGCTATAATTATGGCTATACAGTTTATATATTTGTCTGCGTAGCTATAATTACGGCTTTGCAGTATATATATTTGTCTGTGTAGCTATAATTATGGCTATACAGTTTATATATTTATCTGCGTAGCTATCATTATGGCTATACAGTTTATATATTTGTCAGCGTAGCTACAATTATGGCTACATAGTTTATATATTTTAATTTAGATATTATTTCAGTCTCTCCCTCCCTCCCCCCTTCCCCTCTCTCTGTCTCTCTTCCTCGTGATTATATTATGTT